GCACAGGAACCCCCTCTGCTCTTCATGCAGTGAGCCATCTCCTTTATGGCCTGGGCCCAAGAAACTCAAAGCACTGTGAAAACATCAGCACAGCCCATCTTTGGTCCTGTCCCTCGTTGTTCCTGTGTCCAGAGCTGAAACGGAAATGTGGCCATAGGGCTCTGATTTCTCCAAAATGCTCAACCCTTTTTGGCACCCACTCTCTACAAACATCTGAGATGGAGGCATCCAAAGGTAGCGAGCGTTTTGGGAAGTCTAGGCTTTGGTCGCTCGCTTCCAGGGGCAGAGTAGGGCACCGCTCCAGCATAGCTTAGGTTTTCCTAGAGGGGTTCCCGCTGCCCAGGAGAAGCAAAGGCAGCAGTCTGGATACGAGCAGTTTCAAGATTGTACCCTGAGCACCGATTCCAGTCTTGCTGACCAGGCAGGTAGCAATGCTGCAGAGATGGCACGATCAGAGCCAAACTTAGCGAGGTGGAGCGTGCCTAAGAGGCTGAGGACACTGCCAGGCTGCATCCTACACGTCCCATCCAGCCAGGAGTCCTCAGGCTGGATCTGGCTGGAAGACACAAGGGTGGTGGATATCCTATGGCTTTGTTTCCTCTCATCTCTCAACCAGTGTTCAACTACTCAGGGATTTAGGAACACGGCGGGACTTAAAGCCTTTCAACCTTCCTTTACACAGGATATGAGGCAAGAGCAACATCTCACTCCGTGATCATAGAGAGACCAGCCACAGTAAGATCTTAAAAAAGGCATGAGGATACTAATGGAATGCAAGTGATAGATGATAATCTGCTTTTGGTTTGTTTGTTTTTTTTTTCTAGTCTCATTTCTTAGTCTAAAAATGTATGTCTTCAGTGAAAACTCAGTTTAGCTTTACAAGCTTTGCTTCTTAAGAAATTGGCTCAATTTTAGCATTATTATTTTATGAAAATGAGAGTAAGATCTTGCCCCTTCCAGTAAATTATACGACTTTCTACTCAAGGTTTTAAACCAATTTAGTGAGCACCCTGAAAGCCCTTGTGTAGACATTTCTTACTATGGTAACACAAATGAGGTATAAATTTCACCTTTAGCTAAGTCAGCGCAGATTTAGATAGTTGTGTAGGAAAGGCTAAACAAAACCACAAACCCTACCATTCGTCCACTCCCTAGATTATTTTCCCAGACCTGGTTTGGGAGCACAGTCCCCAGGCTCTCACCTCTCCCAAGTCAGAAGCACATAACTCACCATAGGTACAACCCAGAGGCCAACTGCTGCTTGGCCCTGCCCTTCCCCTTCACAAAGAAGCTGGTCCGTAGGCCCAAATCATCTTTACCCAGCCTCTAATTAGGGTTTTCTGCCTGAGCATGCACACCACAAAGACACTGGCAAAGAACAACCCTTCACCCTTTCCCAGCCCACCCTCCCTTGTCTTCCATCATTTGCTACAGTACATTTCTTCAACCTCCCTCCATCAACTCCTTTTCAACAGCGGAGCACGGAGACAGTAAAACATTGCTGTAATGTCCCTTGCTGATGCATAGTCTCCTCCCATTATTGGTACAGCAGCATCAGGTTACACGCCGTTAATAGCCTTTCCACTTGTTTATAGCTTCTCTGGCATCATTCCTGGATTTAGCACTGCTGTTTTACTTCCCCTTACTGCTTTGGGGACGACCTCCCTTCAAGCAGTGGGACGCTCGTGCCGTGCGTGCAATGTGTAATTCAACATGCGGGAACTGGTAGGGGGGCATTACCAGCAACAAGCACATCAAAAACACATTATGTCAGTGCCAGTGAACCTAATCTTGAATTGTGTGGGTTGTTTTGGTTTCTCTCTTTTTTTTTTTTCTTTTTTTTTTTTTCTCCTGTGAACATGAGTGAATAATTCATAGGCAAACCATTGACATGATAAATTCCTCCATTTCTTCACTTTTGTGAATTGGCTGTGAACAACTTCCCAATTCCTCCCTTCCACATTTTCATTATCCAGAATTATTCACTAAACAATGGCCTACAATAATTCTAGGGAGCAAATTCTCTGATGGGGACGTCTGTGCTGACGTCAGTGGAATTAATGCCTGCAGGAGCTTTCGTTCAGAGGCAACAGGCCATCCAGAAGCTTTTCATCACAAGGATTTGGGCTCTAGGTTTTGAGCCATGCTGATTAGCTGTGTCAGAGCACAGAGGTTGGACGGTCCTGTTCGCTCTTCCACTAGACAAGCAGAGTTCTGCAAATCAGGTATCCATAGTCAATACTCATGTTTACAAATTAACAGTGGTTTGAAATTGCTGAGATGCAGTGATATCTTGCAGTGGCGCTTCTAGCAGCACTCTGCCAGCATGTTTCGTCCCTGGCCCTGCAGGGCGGACAGGAACAAAGTGGGTTTTCTACATTTCCATTTCAGCTGCTGCAAAAGAGTCCTTCCCTTTCCAGGAAAACTCCTCACAGTGCCATACAGACCCCCTAAATCCACTGCCCGCCTCATCAGTAGAGCTCGCTGCCTTTGATATTCAGGGGAATTGAAAGAAAACAACTGAAGGTTTGCTTTTAGTTTCATGGGAAAAATTTGAAAGTGCTGTTGGCTCAGTTCTGCACTTCATTTATTCATTTACAGACTGACCCCAGCCCCATATGAACAATTGAATGTCTTTGGTATACTCCAGCTCTGCCTCAGGAAAAGTCCTCGATATTTATCTGCCTGCAGTCTCCAGTAAGTTAAAGCTGGCTGACCTAAAATACAGAAATCTGAGGAACCTCTCTGGCTGATGATTCTTGGTATCTGAAAGGAATTGTCTGGGGTGTATTTGCTGTATTTATTTATTGTAAATGAGGCATCTGACACAGTGAGATCATAAGCAATTTCCAGCTCTCTCCAAATCAACAGTAGGGTTCCAATTCCAAGCTTCACAATATAATCAATTGTCCTGGAAAACTTTCTGTGCTGATTGTCAGTAATTTGCAACACATAACCGAGAGGGAGAGAATTGTTTGCAATTCTCCCCTTCATCTGCTCAGGAAGATCACCCTGTGTTGTGCAGCCCAACAAGACTGTCATGACCTTAAAGACCTGCAGATCTGAGGTCTCCTTTCCCTGAAATGTTTTGGGTCAGTGGTAAAATATAAATACCATATTTGTATTTCCCATTCTATCATGGTCAAGATATTAACTTCTTTGGTCATTTCTCTGAGTCAGCTCTTCTCCACATCAAGTCCCTGCATTTGGATTTAGATTAATTCCTGTCATCATTCTAGACATACATGTCTACAGAGATGATAAAATTTGGTACAAATAACAACGGCTCATAAATGCAATCCTGATTTCTGCAAAAATTCAGATCTTTCCTTGCTGCAAAATCTCTCTAGTTATTTGTTCTTCCATTACACAGAGGTGAATTTCACGCCGAGGAAATACAACTGCACACTGGCAAGGTTTAGTTCGGTGATGCCACAGATAGATAACTGCCCAAGCAAGCTGAAAAGAGCTTCTTGACAGCTGAAATCTTCAGATATGTTCCTCTTTAAATCTCTCCTGTGGTGTATCGCTTCCACCCACTCCACCATCTTGCAGCAGGGCTGCATGAATGTTGCTAACAATTTGAAACCTATTCCCCTTAGATGCAAGAGTTCCTCATATGCTTTGTTGCTAAAAGCAAACGTCCCGCAAGGGATGCTGTGCCTTCAGCTTGAACTCTAGCAGATGGGAAGGAGGTGAATGCTAACACCACGCAGTGACGTAGCAGAAGCTCACTTCAGAAGGCACTGGTGCTGTGAAGGCAGGCAGATCCCTCAGCTAACACATGTAACGAGCTCATCAGCCTGATCCCACGTTTCAGCAAAGGATCAGGGCATATCCATGGCTATATACTTACAGTCCCGTACTCAGGAGAGACGCCCCTGTGCTACAGAATGGATTATTTCTAATACGGTGCTGCTTTCCCTGCCCACTACTCTCCGATCCTAGAGTCTTGGAAAATCCCAAATCCAGCTCAAGTACCCCCATCATGTAATTTATTATCAATCACTAACTAGTCCGTCATGCTTAAGCCAAATAAATACAAAATTCAGAAAGAGGAAGAAAGAAAGAAAAACAGACCATGGTGTTTAGTCCAAGACACCACAGCCGTGCTATTTTTTCCATTAATACAGGCTGCTGTTATGTGCCTGAAGTAGTGGCATCATTTTAGATCAAACTGCTGCCTGGAGAACTGCAGATGGCTGATGAAAAGGTCATTATCCCTTGTCCTTTCACAATGCAAGTAATGGCTATGGCCTGGTGCCTCAGTTTCCTCTTTTGGAGGAGGTAATGTGACAGCTTTGAGATAAGAGAATAAGAAGCACTCAGCAAGAGTGAGGAGTCTGTGCTGTGCTTCTGCTTCATATTGGCAGGAACTGGCAGCTTTATGCTACTGATTTACGTCCAGGGGTTCAGAAAGCAATAGCACAAATCCCCATTTTAGAAAGAGAAAAACCTAAGGACAAAAGATAAAGTTCAGATTCTTTTGGCATTTAACCCCTGCTGATATCAAGGATGGCTAAAGCCCTCTAAAAACCAGCGTGCCTCTCTGCATTGCTTCATGCAGCTCTCTGCAGGCACCCAAGCTAGAGCCAGAACCAGACGCGAATACTGGTATTAGCAGGGTGCTGTAGGTGAGCTTGCTGGAGATGCAGGGCTCTTTAGCCAGGGCACGGTACCATGCTCACATGGTCGCGTTGGTGCTGAAAGCCAAGCTGATATCTCAGCACAAAGTTGCACTGCACGGTCTACCCAGGCCCTAAATCAAAGTCCACCGTGAATCCGGGAGCTGAACCCAGAGCAGAACCCAGTCATGCAGCTCCCCGCTCGTTACCCGACCTCTGAGCCTCTCAGTGCTGATACCATTTGCAGGTAACCTTGCACAACAGACCCACATATCTGACATGTGCTATGTTATTGCCCTCTGCTGAAGATGCTATGGGAAAGCAGGAAAATATGACTCTCACCCTCTCTGCTGGGCCCTGGAGGACTAACCTTACCTGCTCAGGGTAGAAAATACTTGCACGCCTTCTGACCTCGCTTGATGCATTTGCAGGTCCTCCTAGTGTGAGCTGGCTCTGGGCTTCCTTCGGCAGGGAGAGTCAGATCTCCATCAATATTCAAGGCACACAGCAGGCAGGGAGACAAGAGACGGGGAGGGAGAGCCTCTCAGCCACAACAATATGAATGAATCTTGCTCTGAGGCAGAGGAGGAAGACGGTTAGTTGCAGGGTCTGTGCTCTGCTGCAGGCATCAACCACACTCTAACAGAGTCCTTCAGTCCCCTGTCCCCTGGCCACCCTTTGCTTGCTTTGTGCCCCAGCCCAGGACTGGAGGCCCTGGAGCTGTTCCAGGGCTTTGCACGCCACAAAGCAGGCACAGTTCTTTTAATTAGACTGAAAATGTAAATAAGCATGGCATGTGCCCAGGCCCCTCCTGCCGAGCCCACGAAAAAGTGCTGCATGCTTTTTGGATTGCTGTCGGTAAATGGAAAGGACGTTTGGCACCAAGACTGCCAGCAGTGGGTTCGCAGACAGGTTCAGTGGTGCCTGATGAGTAGCAAGCACTGTCTAGCTGATGATACCAATCAGCTCCCACATCAGCTCCCTGGCATTAATAAGCATGGGGCCCTACCTCTACCTAGCTGAGGGACCATCCCACTGTTATCTGCTGGGACCACAGATGAATAATCCCCTAGGACCAAGGTGACCATCTTGGTACAATCAAAATCAACCTACCCATCCATCCCCACACATTCCTGGCCATGATTCCAACCACACATCCATCCTTCCCCCTCCACACTCTTCTGCTGTTTCTTCGGATAAAGAAATTGGCTTTTATCTTGTCTTATCCACGCCACAGAAGTCCCTCTATGCTTTCTTCCCATAGGTATCGTTCCAGCCCCAGTGTTTCCAGCATCCAGTGAGGACACAGGCAAGCAATCTGCAAGAGTGGGACTGAAAAAATTCACTTGTCCCGTGTCTGGGAAGTTGATATACAAGCTCCCATTGTGCACCAGAGAAGGTGCTTTGAATAGGGAGGACTCAGGCTAGGATCCAGGGCAGCCTGATCCTTGTAGAGGTCTTTTCAGAGACATTAAAGGGCCCTTGGTTAGGTCCATACCAGGTTCTCTTGCTGCTGGGGAGAAAAAAGCATGTTTATGCATTGCTGGGTTTCAGCTTCAGTTTAATCCTTTCCTTTTGTTGCTGTTACAGAGTTAAAACTGACTGGTGCTGCCAAGGAACAAAGAATGCACCAGAATAGAGTCAGTGACCCATCCAGTGCATGAGACACTAATAAATATAGATCCTAATTATTACTAACCCCGAGTTAAGATAAAGTCTCCTCTTTTTACTGGGTGCAGCTCATGCTACTTCAAAAGGCCAGGCTGAGCCATAATTTACGTTCTATTTGCCCAGTAAATACCAGGCTGGCTTGCCCCCTGCCAGTGCTGGACAACCCTGCAGCATGGGGCTGAATCACACCACGCAGCGCATGGTGTGGCCCTGCGCTAATAGAGCAACGCTGGTGCAGGCAGTGCCCGGGTAACGGTGCAATGCTGAGGACATGATCAGTCATTGTACTATCTTCTGACTCATACACTAACAGACATTGTGTCCTCCAAAGGGTCCAAATAGCAAGGAAGATCCAGCAGGCCTGCGACCTCAACCTGCCAGCCCTTCACAGTCTCAAATCCTACCCACCATCCTCTGAAACTGAGACCATGAATAAAAATTTGCCTTTCCCTCCAATTTACACTCGCACTCCTCTCAGCTCTAATTAAAAGGAAGGAAAGCGCATGCTCACAGCAGGCAGAAGCATCCTGTGGTGCAATAGGGCTGAGATTCACAGTGCAGCGCTCTTTCCTTAACAGCGAGGTCCTCCTGGGACCACAAGAGCCCTTCTGGCAGTGCAGGGCTAGAAAAGGCTCGTCAGTGAGTTGAAGCCCCTGCACCATCGCAGCGTGCCCTGGCTGTGATAGCTCAGCTCACTCTCCAGCCCTCATTACCATGTCATAAGCCAGTTGGCACTGCTGATTCTGTGGTGCTCTGGAGCACCCTTATCTCTCCAGGAGAGGCTTTCATTGCAGCCCTCAAGCACTAGGAAATGGAGATACTCAACTTGCTAATGCTGCTCTGCAAATCAATCAGAGGAGGAGGATGGGGAGGGGAACAGCGTGTCCCTGTCTGTCACTCCTTGGAGGCTTCGCCCTTCACCAGTGACAGCTTATTAATTCCCGGACAAACTCAGGGAAAACTGTTGCCTCTGTGGGATGTTAAGCAGGGAAACAGCCAAGAAGTTTAGCCCCTGTCTCGGAGCACCCCGATCTGTGAGAAATACAGCCACCAGCCAGCATGGGGGTCACAAGGATGCAGAGGGCTTGGATGATGTTATCCGCAGGTACCTGAGATAGGATCTGTGCTATACAGGCTGTAAATCTGTGGGTTTCTTTTGTCAGGAAGCTGTCTCCAGCCTGGGCTAAAAATTTCCCTTGGGTGAAAGGACGAACCAAGCCTTGCTAATGCCCAGCGCAGGGGATTGCCGTCCCCACTGTGTGCAGGAGGGGTTACAGCAGGTCTGGGTAGCTTTGGTGCCTTGAGATGGACCCAAGCTTGCCTGGATCACAAATACAATGAAAACACGATAGTGTCATGGGCTCCTAGCTCCTTGGCCATTATAGGAGGCTCCTGGCAGACCCACACCAGCCTAGTGGCCCACATTTCCACACCTACAGCAAAGCCCCGGGCTTCCACACCCCGGGCTGCTTTGGTGAGAGCAGAACACCGCAGGGCAGGGAGAAACTATTTGCCCCCTAACCACAGCACCGGCCTCCAGGGACCCAGGGAGGGTTGCAAGGGTGCCCTCTCCCTCCTCTCCCCTCCCTGCAGTGCAAGGCACCAACCTGGCCTCCTGGCTGTCGCTTCTCTGCTGGCGTTTTGAGAGTCACATCACTGAAGTCACCTCTCCACGTCACGGGAGCTCAGAAGCAGATTTAACAAGCCTTTGCTTTCTTCAGCTAAGAGAAGCCTCAAAGAAGCTTGGTCTCAAGTGCCCTGAGGGGCTGGCAGGTCTCTCTGCTTCTGCCATCATCCCCACAAGAGGACAGATCATCTCCCCAAAAGGGTCTAGCAGGCCAACTGACAGCAAAAGCAGAGTGCCAGTGATCGGGGGGACAACACGCCAAAAGCACATGAGGATGCATTTGTCCTTGCTAGATCCTGTCGAAAGACCACCCTCCTCATGGGGCATGGCAGGTGACGTCCTGCTATGTCTTGCATTTTCCTGCATGAGGCCACATGCCAGAAAAAAAGGAAAGGGACTGAACAGTGGTGACACAGTGGCCACAGTTCATGAGACCCTGCAGCACTTCCAGGGGCTTCTCTGCAGGAACCTGAGATGTTAGTCATGTCCCAGCCCAGCTCCTCCCCTGATCTTCTCTCCCTCCTGGCTGGCATTCACATGCACATCCTGGCACTTACCCACTCACGTCATGGGTCTGGAGCCACCAAACCCAAGAGATAGGCCCCAGCTAGCACCTTGCTTAGGCTGCTTAATATTTTTTGCAATGCAAGTGATATTGGGGGAGTGAATCCTGGTTTAAATCAGTATGGAAGGAAATGTAAGCCTGTAGCGTTTTAAATCCAGAGGAGCAAACCCTCGCAAAAGAGAGGGAAACCAAATCCATTATCAAAATCAAGGGAAATGAGCATTTTTCTCTCTTGTAGCAAGGTCACTAAAAATGGAAGCATCACATGGGATCACTAGGAAACAAGTAGAGTAAATAGCCAGTGGACAGAGGGTCTCTTCTACTAATGAAGGAGTCCTACCAAAAACACATAGGCATCATATAAATTATCAAATAATGAAATTCCAGTTAATTTACTGTCTGGTCAGTCACAGCCCACCTGCTGTGCTCCTGAGCCTGGCCAATAGCATTAAGAAAGAATTACTTTCCAGGGCAGCTGGATGAAAATTAGGTCTGGATCACTTCTTTCAGAAAACAAGACCTTCTCTAGAACAAGGTAGGGCAAATGCTGCAGCCCCATGTCCCCATCTCCCCTGAACATACGTACACTACTAGGACCCTGCAGGCCTCACCTCTGCTCCCTGCTCAGTATAAAGAACCAGCTACCTGCACACCGCTGCTCACTCATGGCAGCATGGGCGTCTGGGACTGCAACCTGAGACCCAAAACAGAGAATTTGCCACTAGTCTGAGGACAAGGAGCCAAACACTAAGGTCAGAAGTTTTGCTTGGTGGGCCTTACTATGCCAGGAGCTCTTAGGAGCTGCTGACATGCAAATACTCCAGCCAGTGGGAGTCTGTCACCTCTTAGTTTTAGGGCTGAAACAGGTCAGAGTTGCAATCCTGCGGACCAAAGAAGAGCCCCTCAATTCAACCTTCCTCCCCCTCATAACCATAAGCTCCACCTCCAAGCTCAAGTCCACCCACTCCATATTGACCAGCATCCTGTCTCCAGCAGTGGCCAACGGCAAGTGCCTCAGAAAGGGCACAAGAACACATTGACAACTTGGAGTGCTTCCTGAAGAGTCTTCCAGAAGCTGTCTCTGTTTATCACAACCTGGAGGGCGGTTCCAGAGGAAGAGAGATTACAACTGCCCCCTTTGCTCAAGTGATGCCTTGGGCCCACTAGTAGAAAGAGACAAAGTGAGAAGTCTGGGGGCAACTTTCCTTTTGAAAGGGGCTGCAGTGATTGAAGAAAATGACAGAGTGCAGGATCGGGATTTGCACCTACAACCCTGAGTGGGTTTCAAGTATGAATCGCCTTATAACGGCTCATGGCTATTATCCTTCTCCCTCTGAGGCATCAAGCTATTGGCACTTCATAGCACCAAATATTCAGCATGCTCTATATAATTTTAAAACCATTATGTAAGCTGCTCTCTCTCTCCCGTCTCTCGATGTCTCCAATTGGTGTGTCAGAATGTAATTAGCTTTTGATGGGATGTTAAGATTCCTTGAGCCCCTGTGGAGAGGCAGCATGGGGAGAGGCGAGGCAGTGGATTGTGATTGTCACTCCCTATGGTAAATGCTCGAAGACCCTGGAAGACTCATTTACAAAAATATAAGATAAAATAAATAAAAAAATCCAAAAGCAACAGACTCAGTAGGCTTTAGTTTAATTGACTGAATCACTGAAATTTTTTTACCTCTGCGCTCTCTCCTACTTGGAGAGAAAGGGAAATTAACTGTCTCATGGCCAACAGAAGAGTGCTACGCTGCAGCAATGGTCACAGTCCTATTGCAGACTCAGCTGGAGAGGCT